CATCAATCAAAGTCATAAAATACCTGGCACCACTCTTGGAGGGAATTCTATTTGGACCTCACAAGTCAGAGTGTATATAATCTAACTTGTCGTTGGTCTTGTGCTCGGACTTCTTGATGAACTTTACCCTTGTCTGTTACCAAACACACAATGCTCACAAAAATTCAAAACTTGATTTTTGTAACCATTCAGCAAATTCTGCTTACTCAACAAAGACAATCCATTATCACTCATATGGCCAAGTCGCAAGTGCCACAACTGAGACTGATTTAGATCACTTTTCCCAGAAGCTACAGTAGCTTCCCCTTCAACTACACTGGCCTAAAGATGATACAATTTAGAATGTAGTTTACCCTTCATAAGTACCATGGAGCCTTTACACACTTTAAGTATTCCATTCTCGAAGTGAAATTTATACCCTTGATCATCCAAAGTCGAAAGAGAAGTCAAATTTCTCTTTATCCGAGGAACATGCCAACACTTAATGTTTCTGATAGTTCCGTCGAACATTCTCAATTTAATATTACCAACCCCCTCTACTGGTAATGGATTATCATCTCCCATATAGACAGTCCCACTCATTTGTTTGTAAGTTGCAAACCAATTCTTGTGTGGACACATGTGGAAAGTAGCACCAGAATCAAGAACCCAAGAATTTTGCCCATGACTAAAACTCACAGCACAAGCTTCCCCTACATAATCACTATCATCAGAATTATTGCCAGTGTCAACAATATTTGCCGAATTATCTATTTTCTGCTTCCCTCTTTTCTCCTTCAGCTTAGGACAATCTCTCTTGTAGTGACCTTGCTCCCCGCACTCATAACAGTTTTGCTTCCTTGCTCTAGACTTTGATCTTGCGGTTGACTTTTTCCTGTTAAAGTCCTTTTGTTGTGTTCTTCCTCTAATCACAAGACCCTCGCCCTCAATTCTGTTGTCTGGAAAGCTCTTTTTCAACTCTTTAGATTTTAGTGCATTACTAACATCTTCTAGTGAAATGCTATCTTTCCTATATAGCAGTGTATCGGCAAAAGTATCATAAGACTGTGGTAAAGAACATAACACAATCAAGGCCTGATCCTCACTCTCAATTTTGATATCCACATTCTTCAGGTCCATTATAATTGAATTAAACTCATCAAGGTGAGTTTTAACAGGTGTACCTTCGTTCATACGGAGATTGTATAACCTCTTTTTCAGGTAGAGGCGGTTTGTCAGCGATTTCTTAGAATACAGATCTTCCAGCTTCTTCCATGCCGTTGCTGCAGAAGTTTCTTCAGCAATTTCCCGAAGAACGCTATCTGTAAGCTCATCAAGATCGCACTCAAAACCCTCTCCTTCAGGTCTTCCTTTTTTGTCTCTTTCATATTTTCAGGAAAATCCTCATCAATTGCTTTCCATAAACCTTGTAACATCAGGGACGATTTCATCCTAATCTTCCATAGACTGAAACTAGAACCTCCGTCAAATTTCTCTACTTCGTACTTTCTTGAAGATGATGAAGACATCTTAACCCTAAATTATGTGTAGAAACCCGAACCTTGCTCTGATACCAATTGTTGCGGAATATCGTGGGTTAACTAGCACACAATCTCACACAAAGCAAATAGAGAAGAAAAATCAACACAAGGATTTAACGAGGTTCGGCTAAGCCTAATCCTCGTGGCAAAAGAAGAGAGAGTTTTCCACTATGAATGAGAAGAAAAACACAATACAATCTATAGAATCCCCAAATACAACCCCTATATATAGATCCCAAAAGATCCCAAACATATATGAGAAAGGTTTCCCAATTTGACAAGAACTATAGGTTTTCCTTTCCCAAATCTATTAGGACAATGGGTTTTCCTAAACCTATACGGACTATGGGTTTCCTAAAAATACAAGGAAATAATTCAAGTCACAAATAACAAGTAAGGTAATCAACCATGAAAGAAAACAATAGTTAATCATAAAAGAACCTACTACTAACAGAAAACGAGATTGACAGACTGCATGCCAAATATTTCAGATATATGGAAACATCATACAGAAACAAACCAGCATATAATTCTTGTGATGGGGCGACAAAATTAAAAAAAGAAGAATGTTCCTTAACTGAGAAAAGTGTAAAGAGCACAATTGCCAAAATGTAATAACAAGTATTGCAAGTCGTGCAGTTTAACTATTGCAAATGTTTTCCCCCTGGGAAGAGGCTTTCACCATAATAGTAAATCCCGTTGATCAAACTCTTTTTTGAAAGCCCTTGAATTACAAAATATCTCCAACTTTTTTTTTCATGACATCATAACACAAACAGATGAATTTACATGACTTGACCGCCACGAAGAAATAAATCTCCCCATCACAAGAGTTGCATAGTCTTCCGAAAAAAAGGGTCTTGGCAGTTCTGGGCTTTTCCCCTGTAAGGAATTTTAAGGGATTTTTACCTAGTTATACTATAATAAAAATCTATTTACTATCTTTATTTAGGTTCCTTATTAATTACTCTACATACCTATATTTACTAGTTTTATACAAAACCATAAAAAGGAGAAAATAAAACATACCTTAAATATTGGGTATCAATTACACATAATCACCTACATTTAAGATACTCTTCCTTTTTCCAAGTAAAACATATATGTCTTTGTACTACCCAAAATCATCACCTCTCTTTGTACTTACCCAAAATCATCACCGTAAGAAACCCACTGAAGCCCAAAATCATCACCTCTCTTTGTACTTACCCACAGTAAGAAACCCATTGATACCCATAATCTTTCTAACCCAAAAATCTCGCTTACTCGCTCTTCTTGCACTGTTATCCCCCCAAAATTGCAGATTATCTTTCCTCTTCCTAAGCTGTTGATATACGATTTCTCTGTTTAATCGTCCAAAATCTCTTTCTTATTTATACAATACAGAAGAAATTCGAAGATTTGCTCTTCAATCAAGTTGTGGGCAAGCTTCACTCTACATTAACAATGTCTATTTTCTAATTTCTCTGTATTTTGTTCTTATTAATTTTTTATCCATTTTAAAAATGTCTCTTTAATATTCTTTTTTATTCCACCATTTCAAAACTAACAATGGGTAAGACAATTTTGCATGAATCTGTGAGAAAATATTCTGGAAAATCTGCTATTGATACACTAACAGCTAACACAACAGTTCGAAGATCATCCCGGAAACATTGGGAAAAAGTTGTGGGTGAAACACCTAGTTTTGACTTAGGTGTATTTTCACAAGAAGAAAAAATCAAATTCTAGGCATGCAATACCTGTAGTGATTGATGAAGGTTCGGTTTCTAAGAGGAATGGTAAGGCAATTAGAGATGATGATTTTGAAGAGGAAGAAGTAGTATTAAAAGCAAGAAAGAGGAGTAAAGTTAATCACGATACTAAAACAAAAAAGAACAATAAGGTTGATCCGGATTACGGCTCTCGTAAAGATGAATCTGATCACAAGGTACTGTACAACTTTAAAAGTATTTCCTTTATGTTTTATGTGGGTTTTTTAGGTAATTTGTTTCTTTTTTTGTATGTTTTTTGTGTACTGATTGTTTGAGTTTTCCAAAAATTATATTTCTTTTTTGTATTTTTCTGTATATTTTTTGTATGTACGCTATTTTTTGAATATATCCGCCTTTGTAGCATAGTGCTATTGTTCGTTTGATAATTATTTATTTATATATTATTTGTACATTAGATTATATGTTTTGTATTGTATTTTATATGTTTATATGAGATAATTTGTTTATTCTCGTATATTGTTTGTATACTGATTGTATGAGTCCTCCGAAAAAATTAACTTCACAATTTTTTTATTATCAGTATTGTATGTTTTTTGTATGTTTGATGTATTACAAATGAATTAGTTTCATAAATTTCATATGTTTACGCAATTTTAGAAAATAATACTATCGATTAAAAAAAACTTTTTTGTTTGCTAATTCAGAGATAAAAGTTCTTTGTCAAGGAGGGTGCGAAATTTGGTGTGACTCATTGGCAATCATATACAGATCTTGAAGTACTAGAACACACAAAGGAAAATTTGTCAAGTGAACAATTAAATTTCTTTAGGGAGTCATTTTTTGGATACTTCCTCGATTTGCCCCCTAATATATGTACACAACATAAAGTGATTAATGTATTGAAGAGAAGGGAGTTGAATGACTACTATGCTGACATTTTCTCTGTAGAGATCAACAGTCAGAGATTGAATTTTGGTTTGTGTGAATTTGGTATAGTTACTGTTCTAAAATGTGTTGCATTGGAGGGAGATCTTGGGTTTGATCCACAGGTAAGACCAAACTTAATGGACAGTTACTTCCCAAACAAGGACAAAATAGAGAAGAAGCTTCTTCGAAATTGCTTCTTGACCAAGTCCTGAAAATGTGATGAACATGCATTCAAGCTTGCGATCTTGTACTTTATAGAGTTCTTGTTTTCCACTGAGAGACAATATTGCAGTTGACATCTACAGGTTTCATATAGTAGACAGTGGACAGTTCAACTATTACCAATTGGGGAATAGATGTTTACAAGGCATTGCTTCTTTTGGTACGGCATGTGCTTAGTACAAATGTGCATTACTATAGACTTGGTGGACTGCCTCTTGCGCTTCAAGTTTGGATATACGAGTGTTATTCTATGATTGATAAACAAATTGTCGTCCGTCTCCCCAGCAATAAAATACCTCGTATTCTGAGATGGACAAAGGTCAAATCCCAACTTTGGCAAAAAATCATAGAGAATCTTATATTCACTCCAACTTGGATCAAGGTAAAAAACTGATTGTTTTTTAATGTAATAGTTAAATTTTTAATATATACAATATATATATATCTGTCAAGTCAAAATTGTATAATACAATATTATAGCATGCAAAAATAACACAATTATGATACAATTATACTAATTCATATTGAGTACACTATATGCATATATGTAAAATAGAATTTTTGATAGCACATTAATTTCTACTATATATAAGCGAGAAGAGAGTGGACGAACACAACACTAAACCATTGTACAAAAAGTTACTTCAATTGTAACGGACAATGGACTTTAGTTATTGGATCTATTACCTACACGTGTATTTACTTCAATTGCAGCATCAGGAATTTTCTTTTTTATAGTGACACCTGTCTGCCTTTTTAATTATGTAAGACATCTGGCTTTTACTTCACTTCTAATTCCATTCTCCTTCACCGTTCTTAGTCTATGGTTCTTTCAGTTTCTCTGCCTTCCTCTCACTTACATTCCTATCTTCAGTATCAGTATACTCCTCAGATTTGCACATGTATCATGGCTAATTAGTGCAGAATTAAACCCTTTTATGGAAAATTTAAGGTATCGAAATGACTGAAACTTAAAGTGGATTGTGCACCCAAATTGTTTGTTGAATTTCCTCACTCAACTTATTTGAAGTTTCATGTTGCCATTTACCTTTTTGGGCTGCAGCAGAAAAATTTGTATCGGCTGAGCAAAGGCTTTTCGAGAAGAAAGTCTTTACTTTGGTGATTTTGAGGCCACTGTTCAAGACTTGGATAATTATGTTGGGTATTATTGTCATCCACACACTAAGGATGCAAGGTATGATTATGAATTACTTTCTTTTGCTTTATTTTGGTCAACAATGTAACCTTGGGTATTGTTTATTGCTATCTCGTTTTTGCTTTGAGTGTTTATCTTGCTCTTCTGCTTTTTCTTTGAATAGACATTAGCATTATACTTTGTTTGAGAAAAATATTTCTGCTTCTATTTATCTAAAGTGGTCTATTGCTAGCGATGTTACTTTTTTTTTTATAAAAAAAAACATTTCTGTGTCTAAAGGTCCTTCCATCTACAAGTCATACGGTTTGGTTGCTCTGGTTTTGCTTCTTCCATGCTATCACATTTGACACTTGGTTTGTATTCATGTAAGGGGAAAGGACTTCTGGACAAGGTGATACTAGCATAGAAAGAAGCTCTGATGACCTTGCTCGCGACTATATAAGGTATGACCTTTTAGAGCCCATTCGCTTGGTAAGTTCTCTTAATTGCCTTTTCTTCACACTCATGTGTGTGATCTTGATCATAAATTTATCTCTTGATTATATCAAAGATGTATTTAAGGTTTCTTTGGATTCTCACTTTGCTAATTCAGGAGTATGACAATGAGTTTGTCATTTAACAAGTCGTCGCAGTTGTTAGTTCTCTTTCTATGTTTTAAAAATAGTTTTCATTGTTGTAGTGAAAAATAAGTTATGTTCATAAAGTAGATAAAGAAAAATCATCTTTCTTTTCTGATCAAAATATTATTTTCTTCCTTTAGTACAAGTACAAGTAACATATATTCTACATATATTTGTATCACGCCATCAACTTAGTAGAACTGGTGCTTTATGTTGAGGAAGAACTTATCGCCTACGTCATCATGTATTCCTTTAGAGCATGCCCATCTCATAATCTTGTAAAGGGACAAATGGACAAAAGTTAGATAGTTCAATGATATGAACTCCATTTTAAGTTTTCACACATGCTATTTGAATGTGCATAAGCTCCGAATCATCCCTCAAATGTTACCTGTAATCGATGCCCAGTATTGTCTTCTATACCAAAAAGTGTTAAAAAGTGTATCAAATTCTGCACAATGCACTCTGCTACTTAGGCTGGGATATATTTCACCTCCTATATGATTTAAGTCTATGAATATTAGAATATGTTTGGAGAAAATTATGCAACACTTGAGGGATATATTAGCTTATATTACTTAGAAATAAAAGAAAAAGACAATTGCTATATAAGAGAGCACATTTACTCTGAGTGCTATGTTCTTCACTTCATACTCCGAAATTGCTAAAATAACTTCTGAGGAAGGTTTTTGTGGTCAGACTAGTTATTCCATTCTTTGGGTTTTGAAAGAAAGAAAGAAAGAAAGAGGAAACCATCAGTACAAAGATTAGGTGAATTGTCATCCTTCTACTCTTTGATTAGTCTGATAATGCGATATATTGGAACTTTTTAACAGTTCATATCTTATAAGTAATTTTCTTCAAAAATGCTTTAGCCAAGAGAATTCTTATCTCCATTGGGAGCCATAGATGTTCTTCACTATTTGCAATTTGTGATTTTGAGGGGCATGCTAATTTCTTAAATCGTTAGGAGCCGAGTAAATACTATTCTATTCTACTGACAATTATCTATTCTAAGTGGAGTATCCACCTGCTCCCTTGCATGCACCTTTCCATCTGCTTCCAATATTTTACTTTTGTGGCTGAAGTTCATTTGTTATTGAAAATCAAGAAAAAATTATATCCACGTCTTTTGTGGACATCTAACCACGTTGAGTATGTGCACGTCTTTCAATGTTTTGGAACAATGAGATTGCAATACATTAAAGATATTTCCCACAAGATTACTTTAATGGAATGATTTCTAATACTTACAGCGTCCGGAACATTTATCTGTTCCATCCGTGACATCTTATTCTTGGATGATAGTGATTGAAGTGGTGCATCTGCCGATATAAATTCAAGTCTGTGATTTTTGGCGCACTCACATCATTTTAAATTCTTACTTTTGATCATCCTGAAAGGTAAAATAAAGCTAAATCAGACTTAGCTTCATATTGACTTTATGAAAAGCAAAATTCTCAGTTCCAAATTTAATGCAAGCAGAATGGGAATTTCTTAGCTACTGTGATTTACATATGCCAGGAATAAAGGCATGTTCAATGTATTTCACAATGCAATATTGATATCTGTAGTTTGTTAAACATCTTTCAAGATGTTATATTAACATTTTCATATGCTTTGTAGGATGCAAGAACTACACTTTCATCCTACACCATATGGTTCTGATACTAAATTTAGTAATCTTTTGTAAAAGCTGCAAATCTGCTAAGTGATGTTTCCTAGAGATGATTCTGGTTGAATCTGTAAGAATCTCTTTGTGCCTGCCTCTTGGTATTAAATTTTTCTATCTTTGTTCCTTTCAACCAAGTTCCATTACAGATTTGTAACTGTTTTTGTTTACTGGCAGAACTTTTGTCTGCACAGTTTATGAGAGCTACACGTTCTCTTCGCATGGAGTTTACTCTTCGCTCAAGGATTCTGTTGACAATGACATGACCATTTATAATTCTTGGAGTTACGGTAAGCATCTCCTTTGAGTAATTATTTGCTATTGGTTGTATTCTGGAATCTATTATGTTTTGGTAAAACATGATGTCTTTAATTTCTTGGTTGCAGTAACAACATTCCTTATCCAAGTATTTGACAATTTTCCTTTTTAAATTGACCTGGGAACTACATTTACCCCATAAATATAAATTTATAGTGCCATATTACTGAAGTTGTTCCTTACATGATTCTAGGCTTTAGTATGAACCTCAGAAGAATAGTATGTCTTCTATGTAGTGAGCTTTGAAGTATGCTTGCTTTTAATTGCATTCTTTATATCAATGGTTTTACAGCTTGATGGAAAGCGATTTTCATCGAAGACGGCGGAGGATAATCAGGTGTTCATTCAGTGTAAGAATGCCTCTTGCTTATCTTGTTCCTTTGTTCATGTTATATTATGGAAAGAACTATTAGTACCTAGGTCTCCAGGATATTGTATGCATGGTTGGTTTTCAATAAATAAAAAGATCAATGGGAATTCTGTGTTTCTAGGAATACTCTAGCTGTCTCTGGTTTGATGTTGATTCAATATGGTGGAACCATCTCAAAGGCAGAGGGTTGAGCTTCCGTCTTTTCTTCTAATCATCCTAAATCCTGAAGAGAAATTTGAACAGGGGTTAATGGCCCTTGTAGATCGATCCATTTACATCTTCTCGGTGTCCATATCAAATCATTTATTGTTTTAATGGACAGTAGGTTAATCATGCCTACTTAATAACATAATGTAGATAGTGGGACAAGCTTGTAATAACCAGAAGTATTGTAAAAAAGATGAAGTAACTTGAGTCTCTGGTTGTTCGAGAGGCACCGTCCTTAATTCCTTATTTGCCTTGTTGGCACATATATTGTAAAGAAAACAACAACATTATGCCCATGCTGCATAAAAAAGTATTTTGATTATAAATATTTATTTTGATTATAATACAAAGCGTTGTGTTTATTATCAACAATAGATACTTAAATGTTAATGTTGGTCGCGTCGGTGTCAGGCCCGTGCAACTTGCACGGGCATCATCCCTCTAGTATGACATATAAAACTTATACGATTGTCATACCGTTATTATACAAAGTGGATTATGTTATTGTACCTTTTGTTGGAGTTTTCAAAAATATTGCTGCAACATCTGAAGAGTTGGAACTCATAAAATTACCGGAAAAAAGGGATTATGAAATGGAAGAACGAGGAGACAGTGCATTGCATCGTCGTAATCTCCCGTTTATACCTGAAAATTCTGGAGTAGTGAAGAATAAGCCGGACCAAGCTATATTGTGGGAAGTACAACGGTTGAGAACTGCAATTGCAAATGTTTAAAGTGATTTAGATGCATTCAAGACAAAGGTAGTAATTCTCTAGAAATGTATTACAGTAACTTTTATTGATGTTTAATATTTTGTAGTATTGTGCTTGTTTCTCAGGTTGCAGGCGACTTTGTATCGATTAAGGAATTTTTCACACAATCAATCAACAAAGTCTTGGATGAAATTAGGACATTTGAATCCCGTCAATCCAAAAAAGTTGATGTTTCTATTTCACCAATGTATACAGTTATTAGACCATCGAGTAATGATCGCCGCCACCACAACCGATACAACAATGCTTGTTTTCCAGACCACAATGAAGAGTAGGTTGAGTACGTAACAGTCAATGACATTATAAAATAATAAGGTTATTATACTATTTCATTAACTAAGCACCCTCTTTCAGTACAATAAACATAAAGCATCATACAAGTACCATATAATTCCTTATCAACTATAATACACTTTTTAGTTTTATAACTTTTATTTGCGTATATAAAGATGTTGATGTCAATGTTGCACAAGTAAATAAGCCAAGCGGAGACATTGCTCCACCCCCAGAGGTTGGAAATGTAGAAAATACAGGTAATCGTAGAATGATTATTCATTACACTAATTTATATTTTTAATATATTATAAATACAAATGTCATACAATATTCATACAAGTGTCTTTGTTTTAGCTTTTACTCTATCTGTTTTTCCAATATCCAGATGCTGGTGACTCTGTCGTGGATGTGGATACTTCGGGCTTTGATGCCCAAATTGAAAAAATAGTTGTTATTCTTGATGATTTTGAGTTGCCTGCGACCCCTTCTCAAATTATTCTTACAATTTGAAGAGCATTTAACCCCTGAGAAAAAGGGAAGATTGAAGATTCCTAGAAAGAATGCAAAGTCCCCACATACACAAGATTTCGACTCCGGTTGTAGCAGCTCCGTAGGTCCTCCTATTTTTCCAATCAAACATCCATTCGCACATGTTATTGGAATAGTTGTTGACCCCAATTTGATAGAAGAATTTAGAGAATGGTTATACAATGGGACACATAAGAGATCATCCAGGTTCCAATTCATATATGATTGCTTATTCATACCCAACTATATTACAAGTTTCACAAGCTTTTTTTTATAACTTGTATAGGCGAAAATCTCCTTATCCGGTGGAAGTTAACAAGCTTGAGAGGCCATTTGATTTGGGTGTTGCAAGGGTAGACAAGAAAGAATGGTTTTACAATTTGGCACACGCAGGGCAAGTATTGAATGACACGGTGCGTTGATATTTATCGATCACTCTTAGCTTTTATATAATAAATGTATGCAACTATAATTTCAGTTTATTTGCTTAGTAAATAACTAAACCATTCTTGTTTTTTAAAATTTTATCTTATGTTCAGCCTATCGATGTTATTCTTTACTATCTAAGGAAGAGATATAAGTATGGCCCATCCAATAACGTCAGGTTCACAACTATTGATTGTTGTTTCAAGACAAGGGTCGAACAAGTATATGATTTGTATGTGACTACTCAACAGGATAGTAGGTGCCACGATCCTAAACCCGAACCCGGTCGTGATGATGCCTCTCGTGAAGACAAGGCCAGCCAACTATTCCCAATTCGATGTTAAACAGTTAAACAACAAAAAAACAGTCTAAAACATAATTTAATAATACTAAGCAGTAGATAATATCATAAATATGCGAAAAGACAAGCCAACATAGCCCGAAACCGGGGTGTCAGTAGTCATGAGCAGATATAAATCCTACTACAAGTCCGATAAGTCTATAACTATTACAGATGTCTGAAAAGAGATAGAAATGGCAAAGAGGGAGAAACACGGGACTGCGGACGGCAAGCAGCTACCTCGTGGACTCCGATATCTGCTGGGAGCTCTCAACTCGCACTGGCAGGATTCGCAACGCCCGAATTTGCACACAGGGGTATAGGGAGTAAAGTGAGTACTCCAACTCAGTGAGTAACAAATGTAAATAAAGACTGAAAGCTCACGTAAGACACAAAACATTCTATAATGAAGCAGTAAAACCATTTAAAATCAGTAAATCGGTGAAAGATAGGTAAAATCCTTTATCTCAAATGTAGTTTCATGAAAAGCCTTTTTCAATAATTAAGCAGGTAATTGACGGTCAATTATGAAAAGTAAACACATAAAGGTTCGCCCCTCGGGCACAGTATCAATAAATTTGTCCCTCGGGCAACATCCAGAACAGTACCAGCCCCTTGGGCAATCACATAGAACAATACTAGCCCCTCGGGCTCAATCTCACATCACAATGGGTACCCGCGATCACTAGGGGTGTACAAACTCCTGAAGGGGCCCCTTACGGCCCAAGCGCAATATCAAACCACCTCATGGAATCATCACTAGGCCCTTGGCCTCATATCAATCAAGCTACCTCGTGGCGTACATATCTCAGGCCTTCGGCCTCATAATCAGTATCAAATGTTTCCTCACAACATAGGTCCTCGGCCTTACTCAGTCAAAATCCTCACAAGCCACTCGGGTAGTAGTAAAACATGTTTCTCAGCCCAAAAAATCATTTAAAAGATCACATAAGTATTAAAACAGAGTAAACATGGCTGAGTACGAAAAACAGTGAAATATAACATGACTGAGTTCAAGTATAAAGTCAAAAATAGTGAGAAAATACTATTAAAAATTCCCAAAGGGTTCAAATAGTTGGCACAAGACCCAAATATGGTGTTCAGCCTAGATCATGATGATAACAAATAGATTTCAGTCAAATACGCGGTAAAATAATCATTCGGAATGGACTAAGTCACAATCTCCAACAGTGCACGACCCCACGCTCGTCATCAAGCATGTGCCTCACCTCAATATAGCACTACGATGTACAATCCGGGGTTTCAAACCCTTAGAACATCATTTACAATTATTACTCACCTCGAATCGGTCAAATCTTTAGCTCGCGATGCCTTTGCCCCTCGAATCGCCCTCCACTCACGTCGAATCTATCCAAAATCAGAACGAGGACGTCAAAATATGCTAAGGGAACGAAGCCCGAGCGAAAACAATCAAAATACGACACAAATCCCGAATTTACCAAAACCCGAACTCCGGGCCCACGTCTCGGAATTCAATAACTTTTATATCAATAGGTTCCTTATCTCCCCACGAGTTCATACATATCAAATGTTCTGAAATTCGACCTCAAATGGTCCTTCAAATCCTCAAGCAAAGGTCTAAGTTTCCAAGCCCTAGTTTTCCCCAATTTTCACCCTAAATTTAATCCGTGAAGTAATAGCATAGGAACAAGTTTTAGGTCCAAATTCCTTACCTCAATGAAGTTCCCTTGAAATTCCTCTTTCAAATCGTCCAAAAAGCTCCAAAGCCGAGATAAAAATGGCGAAATGGCGCAAAATTCGTGAAGGCGACAATTTATACCTTCTGCCCAGTCATTTTCGCATCTGCGGCCCTTTAACCGCTTCTGCGGTTCATCATCCGCTTCTGCGAAAATCACTTATCCGGTCAAATACCGCATCTGCGATCACACTTTCGCATCTGCGACATCGCAGATGCGGTCACCCAAGCCGCTTCTGCGGTCGCTGCTCATCAGGCCATTTTTGCTTCATTCCTCCGCTTATGCGGCACCGCAACTGCGGAAATACCAGAAGCAGCAACTTCAGCAGCTGCAACAAAGTCCAAACTTCTCCGTTAACCATCCGAAATCACCCCGAGGCCCCCGGGACATCAACCAAAAGCACAAACATATCCTAATACCTTATTCAAACTTGTACCAATCTTCAAAAACACCTCAAACAACTTCAAATCAGCCAAAACACATCGGATTCAAACCAAATTTTCTAAAATCTTCCAAATTTCGCTTTTGATCAAAACCCAACCAAACCACGTCCGAGTGACCTGAAATTTTGCACGCACATCCCAAATGACACAACAAAACTACTGCATCTCTCGGAATTCCATTCCGACCCTTATATCAAAATCTCGCCTACCAATCGGAAATAACCAAAATATCAACTTCGTCAATTCAAGCCTAAATCTACTCCGATTCTCCAAAACTTATTCTGATCACACTCCTAAGTCAAAAACCACCTCCCGAAGCTAACCGAACAATCGGAACTCACATCCGAGCCCTCTAACACATAAGTCAACATCCGGTTGACTCTTCCAACTTAAACTCACTCTAAAGAGACTAAGTGTCTCAAACCTTACCAAATCCTTTCCGAATTCGATTTGACCAACCTGATACCACATAACACGGATAAACAAGGCATAAAGAAGCAAAAATAGGGAAAATTGAGCAGTAACTCATGAGACGACTGGCCGGGTCGTCACATCCTCCCCAACTTAAACAAACGTTCGTCCGTGAACGAGTCAAGAAGCATACCTGAAGCCTCAAACAGGTGAGGATATCTACTCTGCAACCCCTGCTCGGTCTCCTAGGTAGCCTCCTCCATGGGCTGACCTCCCCACTGCACTTTCACTGAAGCTATATCCTTTGACCTCAACTTCCGAACCTGACGACCCAAAATAGCTACTAGCTCCACATCATAAGTCAAATCATCATCCAACTGAACCGTGCTAAAATCCAAAACATGAGACGGATCCCCAATATACTTTCGGAGCATAGAAACATGGAATAATCCAAAACATGAGACGGATCCCCAATATACTTTCGGAGCATAGAAACATGGAATACCGGATGCACACTTGACAAGCTGGGTGGCAAAGCAAGCTCATACGCCACCTCCCCAATCCTCCGAAGCACCTCACAAAAGACCCAATGAACCGCAGACTCAATTTCCCTTTCTTTCCAAATCTCATAACACCCTTCATGGGCGAAACCTTTAACAGAACCTTTTCACCAACCATGTAGGACACATCTCGAACCTTCCTATCAGCATAGCTCTTTTGCCTTGACTACGCTGTACAAAGCCTCTCCTGAATCACCTTCACCTTTTCTAAGGCATCCTGCACCAAGTCTGTCCCCAATAGCCTAGCCTCACCGGGCTCAAACCAACTAACTGGAGATCTACACCGCCTCTCATACAAAGCCTCATATAGAGCCATCTGAATGCTCGAATGGTAGTTGTTGTTATAAGCAAACTCCGCAAGCGATAGAAGCTGATCCCATGACCCTCCAAAATCAATGACACAAACACGCAACATGTCCTCCAATATCTGAAT